ACTGGAATAGCAGCCTATATATAATTTAGGATGTTGGATCATATTTGAGTTTTGGAGAATATGTTGTCTAAATAGAAGTCTATTAATTACTAAAATTCAGACCACGCTTTAAAATTTTAGTAAATCAGTAAGTTGCTAATATAGATAATGCTATTTTGCAAGATTATGAAAAATAAATAACATTGTAATATCCAAATTATCTTGATGATAAACAAAAGGAGTATTCTTAAAGTTTGAAAAGCTTTAACAAATATTTGATTTATTGTTTATCAGGAATTACTATTATCAGTCTTTTATTAGGAAGTGGGGATTTATTTGTAGAGATTTTGGCAATCCTTTAATTTTAGCAATACTTAAGATACATAAATTTATAATTCCCTTAAAATTTAGAGATTTATTTTTCTATTTATGATATGATAACAATTCAACCTCTATTGGATTTTTTGTAATTTCAACAATTTTTCCAGTTTATTTAAATTTAGTCAAATTAAGAATATTCTGATGGAAAATTTAATGTTTACAAATAAAATTCAAATTTGATCATCAATCTTTCCTCCCAAATATTTTAATGTTTTATATTTTTATTTCTTATGTTATTGTTACAATGGATTAAAAGAGTTGGATACAAATGGATACTTTGTTCTCGATTCTAATAATATATGTTAAATTTATCAAAACATATAAATCAAAAAATTATTTTGAAAATTAGTGAATACTTGTATCGCATTTGCAAAAATTTACTTAAATTGGAGAAATTTATGTCTTTTTAAGGTTTGTTAAAAGCCTTATTACTCAATGGATGGGATATGATATTTAAAACCCTTTTGTATACAAAATGCATCTAAACAAAAAATTACATTGATATTGTACAACTCATTATGGTATATATAATACTTCTTCTTTATTTTAACATATTAATAACTTTTTTCAAATAAAATTAACAATTCTCAAAACAAAACAAAAATCTAAGGTTCTAAATTTTAAGTTTTGGTAGATAATGTTCGCTTTTTACTATTCTTGATTTATATATGACATTAGCCAGTACTTTAATGAGGATTACTCCTCTTAACAAGCCTAGTATAAACGACATTCCTTTATAAAGGTCGTTGTACTCTTAATAAAG